GCTTCACATCCTTACAAGTCTGGGCTTGGATGAAATTGTCAAATGTAGCATGTGAAGGGTTCACAGGGTCCGGGCTCGCCATAGTGGAGGATGATGGTTTGTTGATTAACTGTGAAAGAGGGGAGGTTATATCATGGTTTTAGAAAATTTTCACAGGAAATAAATGTTTACTGAAAATGATCAAAGGGTTACAAAGCCCTTGTTGCCAGCATTTTTAGAGGTGGTTGAGCCCTGAAAGTCTTCTACCTTCTATGCTAGGGGAAGTCATCTTAGTCAAGCTTTTTGTGGCACCTGGTTTGCTGACTCATTACCAACTTCCCTGTATCTTATCTTTTTTTAAGTCTGCTCTGAACTGAATAGCCTACCCACAGGCAATGTGTCATTCTCACACTGCCTGCCGCAGGACGTGTGTCAGTCATTGTTTCAGTACACAATTTAAAGGAAACACATGGCTAAAAACACATAGTGCGAATGTAATTTGTCCCACATGTTTGGACTGTTTATCACCTCAAAAAAGCAAGATCAACTGTTACCTAGGGTTGGGTGATATGGATGAAATTAATATTGGATTTTAATAAGAATACTGTATCACGCTATGACAAACATCTGCAGTTCAGTGTAATGAAACACCATGTATTATTTTAGACAAAGCTTAAGGCTAAAGTAGGGCTGCAGCTGGTGATTTTTTTAATTAATGGTTTGGTCAACAGAACATAAAACAAACAGTGAAAAAGATTCAACATATGATGTCTTCAGATGACTTTCTTTGTCTACCAACAGACATTCACTTGACTATAATGTAAGACAAGGAAACAAATATCGCCTGATTGTACTCAAGTAATTACATTGGAGCCTTTTGGTATACAATCTGAGCTCACAATCTATTTGGCAACATTTACTTAAAGGTAGTTCATTTCAAAAACTAGTGGCACCACAGGCAACATGCTAATCATTTATTCAATATTATACTCAAACAACAAGGACACTGTTTTAAGCTCTGTTCGTACAGTTTACATCTAGCACCTTTTTTTTGTTTTACCCATATCAGCAAGTTGTGGCATTTTCTATAACCAACATGCATGTATTACTTCCTGATGATAACACTAACAGCTCCCCCCCGTCCTCCACGTTAGACGCATAGCCTATAATTACAGTCACAGACCACTGAAGCATGTGTGCATGACTGTGCTTGTGTGAACCTGATGGAAACAGCATTTAAACTGCTTTAACATTCCTCCCTCACATTTTTATTAATTATCTTTTTGATACCAGTTATTTGTAGACAGAAAAAACATCTTCTCTTGCTTCCTGTTTACTGCATTACCACATTTCTCTATGTTGCATATAGTTACAATCACTCAAACAAGCTACCGCCTACAATAAATACAATGGCAAACAATTCTAGAGGTGTTTGATAAGCCTTCATGGAGACTCATATGATACCGACCTAACACATGAACACATAGCTCAAGTGAACATAATCCAGCTTTGATGCAACCAATATTTCTCATGAGGCATTTAAAACATGAGATTTGTGAAGGATAATTATATGGAAAATCCTTAAACTGCCATTTCATACCATCTTCTGTCTCCTTATTTGTTAATTGCAGTGTAGAAACAAGCACAAGCAAGCAAATAAGCCTCCTGACATACAGTGTAGAGTTACATTTGGTCTGAAATAATTAATCAAGATTGCATCACAGTGAAACTCTTCAAATGGTGCCAGTGTCTCTACCAGAGAAAAAACATTCCCAAAGAATGAAATGGCCTGTCAAAACTAAAAATAACTCCAGAGGATCATCTTGAAACTTTTATCTAATTCCCAAAGAGGCTACTGTATTTATACTCTTGCTATATTTTCTGTTTTAACTAGCTTGAAAGATGTACAGCAGCACAAGAACAAACATAAAACCAAAAACTAGTTTCCGCATTGTTAAAATCACCTTTCCGGACACTGCTAAATATAGTTGACAGATGGTCATGCTGAATTAAGTGTCATCTGTGGCAAAGGTACACACGCGCACGCGCACGCGCGCACACACACACACAAACACACCATCATCATCTCACATGTTAAGCAATAATAAAGAAGAGACGGGTTTTAGCAGGAATACTGTGGACAAGATCAGAACGAAGCAACCCGGATTTAAAGGTGAATTGACCTGCTTTTCCTCAGAGCTGGTGGATTGGATGGGATTTACCCACCTTATTACATGTGTAAGCTCTGAGCAGTGCCTCTGTCCACACTGTGTGTATCAGGATGTTGGATCAAACGCTGATCTCCAGCCTGGCAGGTTTTACGGAGAGAGAGAGAGAGAGAGAGAGAGAGAGAGAGAGAGAGAGAGAGAGAGAGAGAGAAGGGAGAGGGGGAAGGATAGAGAGTAGAGAGGAAAGAAAAGAAAGAAATGTAATTTTCTGAACTTATCTGGCTCCAACAGACATCCACAGCGGTTTGTGCCGATACATTAAAACATACCCTTTTAAATGTAAGCGTTCACAATGGTAGGAAGGAATGATAAATGAACAGGAAGGTGTGGCACAGGAGGTTGCATTGACAACACGTCCCCAAGTGCTAGCAGATTTTAAAAGAACACTCACATGCTATGACAGATATGTGGACGCATATCTGTCATAGCATGTCAATGCTGCTCTGTTTAAAATATGGTTTTAAATAGAGCAACCAGCATTCATTCATCCATTTATAGTGGACATGAACGTGACAAACCTTAAAACTTAAAACAAGAATCTCCCCGTGTAATTAAAACAAAGGTAAGACACACAAAAAATCTGCCCTTAAGTCAAATAGGAGCATTGTTAAATGATCAAATACGTCCTGAAGTTACATTACCAGCGTTGAAGTCGTGCTATAAGAGAGTATCCTTGAAACTGCATGCTGGCTGACGTTTCCATGTTTTGTTTTGTCTTTGTTTACAGGTAACGTTAAGCAGTGCGCGTAGGTCAACCTGCACCTCGCGCTCACACCCCACGAGTGGAGCCTCTTCCGGGACTTTCTCCTAAAGCTACAGGCACAGCACTTCTTTTATGCAGTCTATAGCACAGCGCACGCCACAGCGCACGTGACGATCAAGTAGGTGGGAGTGATATTCTGGTGGTATTGCTATCCTGGGGGCATCATGCAAGTTTCAATTTCACTGATAAAAATATGAATGGTATCTGCCATTGACTCTACGTTGTCAACACGCTGTCCAAGCAATTTGTACATTAATATTATTTATTCAGTCACTTATTTATTTTATTTCTTATTTATATGTTATGTTACTCTTACTTGTCTGTGGTTCATGTATCAAGGTATGAGTGCATTTGGTTCACCTTCGCACCTCTACCGGTAAATGGGGCTTAACACGTGCGCCTTTCTGATAGTATTTATTATTTTATATCTATTTTGTTATTATTACTTTTACCAATCATCTCTCCTGGTATTACAGGTATTTAAAAATAAGAATAGTATAATAAGTATATAAAATGATATAATAATAATAATAAATCACCATTATCATAATCATCATTATGATTATCATAATAATAATAATATACCCTTTTTATTTGATCTGTGGTAGCCTATAGGTGTATGAGCTACATTACAACAACGGTGGAAACTAACTATGTACGTGTACTCACGTAGCCTACTGTTTGGCAACACCCTTACTAACTTACTTATAACATCCTTGTGTTTTGTTGACAGTCTTTACTTCCTCATTGTTTTGGGTCCACACAGACCGCACTGCTGTAAATCAAATCAATAGATTAATAAACAATGAAAATTATTGTCAGTTCCAATTGTAAAAAAATCAAGTTATTATGAACCAACTGTTATATAACTCCAGTTACAGAAATTCAGGGTTTGGGAGTTAATGACAGAGCATTAACTCCCAAACCCTGAATTTCTGTAATTGGAGAAAAGTACCATCAACAGATAAGGAGCACATGAACATCCACTGTATTTAACAATGTTTTACAGCTGGGGTCTCTGAGACCCCCAAACAGAACTAATGCATACTTTTCTGTATCTTCTGGAACATGTCAGTTCAAAAGCATGTTTATATAATTAAAGTTAGGAAACGTCATAAGGTAAGAAGGTGATACAACTGTTTTAAGTACGTTTTTGAGCTGTTAAAAACTACAGGACCCAATAGAATTAAACATAGTTCTGAGGTACTTGTATTTTACTTGGGTTTTCTTCATTTTATGCTACTTTATACTTATACTCCTCTACATCTGAGAGGCAAATATTCTACTTTTACTGCACTACACTTAGGTGACTGCTATACTTACTAGTTACTCTGCAGATTAAGATTTTACATACAAAACCTGTCATCATATTAATAAATAATACAGATTATACTACCCAAACGAATACAAAGTAGTTAGAATTAGCTCCAGTTACAGTAAATACCGTTTACGTGTTAATACATCACTTTGCTGATAATATTTCTGTACTTCTTGGTGGTGCAAGTAGCTACTTAATCTTAAGTCATTCAGGAAACTGGCAAAATGACAACTGTGTGCCTTTGTTTGATCCGTTTTGGGCAATCTGCTGCTGCTGTGCATCTGCACTGCTACTTGTTTGGTGTCCTACTCGGTGTTACCTCAGTTATTTTGCATTTGCAAAAAAAAAAAATTAGCAAAACTTTAAATTTGAGCGAATGAGTTGTGGGATGTCAATGCATAACAAAAGACTGGAATATGGACCCAGATGAAGGGTTACGTTGGATCTGTTTGGTCACCTAAGTAGGATGAACTCATATCCTGCAAAAATGTTGGAGATATTAGGTGAAGCAGCCTCTACAATTCTGTATAAAACTTTTTAAAATCTTCTCAAACTTTAACCTGCCGGGTTTGTAAAGTAGAAGTCAGGTCTATTGGTTTCGACCTTTGATCAGTCTTACTGACTCACTTCTACTGCAATCGCAGTGAGCCAGCGAGTTCTTCCTCATTATAGAAACATAATTCATTCAGTTGATAAACATGATAGGACAAGATGGCAATATACAAATTTTATTCAAACGTTCTTTCAAATTTTAACATTATTCAGTAGGATTTAACAAAGAACTATTTATCTGAAAATTCCCATTGAATACAGTAGAAAAGAGTATATATATTTATGTATGAATATCACAGAATTAAAAAAATATCTGCATAGCCAGAAAAAGACCCACGGAACCCCACAGGAAATGTCCTTGGCATGTAAGCGAGGCTGCATACCAACAATATGACCTTTTTCGTGCATTTGTCCCCATATTTTTGCTCACAAGCACTCCGTGAGACTGGTCAGGAAATGAACGGGACGGGGCCAGACAACCTGACTACACCCATTACAGGTCAATGTGGCGTGATCTTTGTCCACAGGACTTAGCAGACGCTACACAGATATCAAACTCCATTCGTAGCAGTCACATCATCCTCTGTATGGGGTACTTTAATCATTATCAGTAGTGCTTTATGAAATCCAAGCTGGAGAGGTCATGGAAGTTGGTCAGGTGGAAAAAACAGTTTAACAAGAATGACATTTGATTACCTGCTCATTTACCAGCCTCTGAAGCAGCACCAAAATGATTAGAAGATTATCACGATGTAAACATTTGTGGTTTTGATTGTATTATGGGTAAGGAGTAATGCTGGTAGATGATCAGTATCTGGCAATACAGAACTGTTTTTACTCACCAGTTCTGTCAGTCATATTGAAAATGTACAACCAGGATAAGTTTCACAGAAATACGTGCACAAAAAACCCATACTTGTAATGTAAGTGTTTCTATCATATATATATATATATATTATATCATTGTTGTCAGATGTTATGTAACCCATAATAGTACCATAAACATTAAAGTTTGAACAAACAATTGGGTTATTTTAAAAGGAATAAATTATAAAGATGATATATACAAAAAAACAAAACATTAGCATTAAGGATATTTACAATTAAGTTTCAAGATGCCAATTTCTTTGCTATACACTCTGTTTATGGGAAGACTTTCTGGTCTTCCTTCTACAGGCTGGAGGAAGGCATAACCATACTCAGCACTGTTATCACTCTGTTGCTCATTTATTATCTTCACTGAGAACACAAACACAATATCTCCAGTGTACGATTGTGCTTAAAGATGCAGTAATTAGGGAAATACTGATTAATAATAGAAGTCTTCCTATTAGTAAAAGGACAGGACTGAAAGTAGACATGAAAGAAGATTCACCTGATTTAAATGCTTGAAAACAAAACAGCATCATAAAACCATGCTGGCGAAAGCTGTCTGGTACTGTACACAGGTACAGGATCTCAAAACAGTGGATTATCCTTTCAGAACTGCAGCAGTACCTCTGCTTACACAACTCAAACTTCATTGTATGAAAAATTCAGAGTAGGAAAATACACTTTTACACAGTAATGTACAAAAGAGATTTTCATTGGCACAAAAATTCTTGCAGCAGAATTCTAGTCTTCTCCATCCTGAGATGACCATTGGTGATCAGTAGCCATTTGTTTGTAAGAAAAGTCACAATTAGAAAATAGAGAGACAGACTCCGCATCTTCTCTTCTTTGTGTTGAGCTGTAGGTTGATCACAGCAATAAACCAGTTTGTCCAATTGGTGAGTGAGACTAGACTAGACACTCATGGTAATCAAGGTCTCACAAAATCTCACAGCAGTTGGCAAACTAGTCTCAATGTTGCACAGGGAGAAGCGTGGTTAGATAATAAAATTGTTCACTTGAAAATATTCCAGTTGATCCAGGTCTAATAACAAAATAAAACAGTTTTAGACCCACAATATCATGACAAATTATTGTACGTCCTATATAGTTGCTTCTCAAAATGGAAGACAGCATGTGTGTATCCCAAACAAAATGTAGTAAAAATAGACATCCTGAAATGGTGCTTTCAGCAGGACAATACTTGGATCCAATTCATTCTCTGGACTCAGATGCAGTCCTTTATATCATAGTGTGGTGTTACTGGCAAACTACAAGGTCAGTCAGGAAAAATAACACAGGAAGAGGGGACCTTACAAACTCAAGGTAGGTAGATAAACCTGCTTGGCTGTGTAGGGTGTTGACTGACAACCAAAGTAAACCACAGTTTAGTCTTTAGTTCCTCAGAGCAGACATGTTGGAGAGCATGACGATGACTTTGGAAAGGAGGCAAGAACTGAACTGTAGCTGATTGGTTTGATGTCCCACCGACCAGAGTTATTGATTGTACCCAGAATGGAGTTGGCTTTCTGCCCAGTTATACTGTACATACATACCCTCAAACATATTTTACTTGTCCATGCACTCTGAAGTAGATGCACATGCTCAGTTTTGCACATGCAGGACGCATGCACTTTTCCACATTCAGCCAAGTTACAGGTTCTCTCCTGGCTGGTACTGAGGCTCTGTGGACGTGAAGTAATCCTCCAGGAAGCCCTGCAGGTACTCGAAGGTGGGCCTCTCCTCTGGCTCTTTCCTCCAGCAGGTCAGCATCAAGTCATGCATGGATTCAGGGCACTCTGCTGGGCACGGCATCCTGTAGCCACGTTCCACCTGATCTAACACCTCCCGGTTCACCATACCTGGGAGGGCAGAGGTATGATATTAGTAACACATAATCCCAATTTGAATCATTTGATTGCTTTCTATGACTTATTGTTATTTATCCACCCATATGCATATTATATTTGTATAATACGTTTAATTTTTTTGGGTGACGGGAACTACAACTTCATCTCGTTATTCAAACCTGTGTTGTAAAACAATAAATAAATCTACCTTGTACCTTATGATCAATATACTATGTGCTTAACCTAAAACATGGGGTGGCGATGGAGCAGTGGATAAGACACATGCCTTTGGTCTGGGAGATTTGTGTTCGACCCACTAATGTCTCCCTGAGCAAGACTTAACCCCTAGTTGCTCCAGAGGCGTGCAACCTCTGACATTTACAGCAATTGTAAGCCACTATGGATTAACTAAATGAGTAAATGTAAATTTGAATACACAAGTTAAAATCTCATACTGAAAAATGGCCTCAAGAAAATAATCCTTGCCTGGATAGGGCACTCTGCCTTTGGTGGCCAGTTCAGTCAGCAGGACACCAAACGACCAGACATCAGATTTAATAGTGAAGCGGCCATACAGAGCAGCCTCAGGAGCCGTCCACTTGATGGGAAACTTGGCTCCTGCAAGACAGGTTTATTAGCAAGTTAAAATTAGATAATTGTAGCACAGACATAAACAAAAGTACATTGTGTCAACTGCATGAATCATAACTTTTCCTGGAGCCGCAACACCTTTTCACCACAGGTGCTCCATCAGTAGTTCCCAACTCAGGTGTTGTGACCCAAGTCTGAGGGGTCATAAGATAATTAAAAGGAAGACATTTAAATTTTTTTTTTTTAAATCCTGTTAGGTAAAGGTAAAATAATGTTGAAATACTGCATACGTTTACATCTTCAGACCTAGGAAAATTCTTAAATATCACAAAAAGTAACTTTTTGGTTGATCTGCTCATAAATAACACACACACACACACACACACACACACTTGTGATGAGGAGTTACAAATGGATGTGACGTCATTTTAATAGGTCACAGGCTAAAACTGTGGGGAACCACTGTGCTACATTGAGAAACTGTAGAAAAAAACAAAACAGTCAAAAACAGAAGAAAAAAACAAATGCTAACACCCTCTAGTGGTCTTACCTTGCCTGGCAGTATATTCATTATCCTCAATGAGGCGAGCCAGACCAAAATCTGCCACTTTGCAAACCAGGTTATCTCCCACCAGTATGTTAGCAGCTCTGAGGTCTCTGTGCACATAGTTCATCCTCTCAACATAAGCCATCCCTGAAGCAATCTGAGAAGGAGACAAAGCTTTGTGATCGTCTACACTGAAGGGACATACCAGAGGTGTCATTTTGAACAGGTTCTAGTGATGCAACAGCAGATTCTTTGTGCTGACCTGTGAGGCCATGTCTACCAGTTGGGGGAGTCGAAGAATCTTGCCCATGTCACCTTTCAGGAAATCCAGTAAACTACCTATTAGCAGAGACACATACTGCCGATTAGTTTGACACTGTTGAAGCTGTTATTTAGTGTTCATTACCTTGCGTGCTACTGCATGAAATCTTCTATCCTTTTATTTTTGTACATACATAATGACTTGTGTTTAATACATTTACTCAAATATGAATTTAACTAGGCTACAATTATTTGGAGAAAAAAAACTAGTGAAGTACGTTATTTGTTTTCTGCATTCTACTATAAAAATGTTTATATGTGAAAAGTGTGATAAGTCGACCATGCTGACCTTGTCCCATGTACTCTGTGACAATGTAGATCGGTTCCTCGGATACCACAGCATAGAGTTGAACCAGCTTTTCATGTCTCAGTTTCTTCATGACCTGAGCTTCTTGGAGGAATGCTTCAGGGGACATAGTGCCAGGCTTCAGAGTCTTTATTGCCACCCGTGTTGTACCGTTCCATGTTCCTGATAAAAGACATATCAGTATTGATGTTACAACTCAATCAATAATCAGCTTCCAGCATTGTGTCATGTGAAACCAAATTAATAACACTGCCATAGACAGAACAATTACTATCCCAGTAATTTCCAACAAGTGGTAGCTAGTACTTCGACAGTTTCCACGTGTTACCACGTGTTGCAATTAAGAGTGTGAGAGTGAAAACTATTAAGCAGCGATGATAGGAGTTGAAACAGCAAAATGGTTGATAGAAGTAATAGATTAGGTTAAAATAGTTATCTAATAGTAAAATTAATGGATAAGTGGATAAGTTAGACAGCTAAAAGAAGTGAAATAGTTGGCTAAAAGCAATAGATAAACAGATGGCTAAGACTGTGGCTAAGGGGGTAGAGTGGGTTGCCCGTTAATCGGCGGTTCAATCCCCGGCTCCTCCAGGCTGCATGTTGAAGTGTCCTTGGGCCTTGAACTACCCCTGGGGGCTGTTCCACCAATGTATGAATATGTGTGAATGTTAGTTTCTGTTTGAGCACTTAGGCTCATGGTGAATGCGGATGTAGTGTAAAAGCGCTGTGAGTGGTCGAAAAGACTAGAAAGGCGCTAAAAGGGTAAGTGGTTTAAATTTTAAGCTAAATGTAATTGCGAAATGGTTGAAATAGCTAAAAACAACAGATAAATGATTGAAACATCTTCTGTGGTAGATGTACAAATGCAAATGACCTAAACATTGACAGTATTTGGATTGTATGAAGAGAATACAAGAAACAACATCCACTTTTATATCATTAATAGTTCAATAATATCCAGTTTATTATATGCTAATGAACATTTGGGGCATGACGGGTGGTGGGGATGAAGTCATACTCGAGTTAAACTGACAGGGCTGTTATGCCAGAAAGGTTGACTGGCTTATAAAATGTACTTCCAATTACAGGCATTTTCTTAACCAAGCTTACAGTGGTATTTATCAATCAAATCCCATATCAGACGACAACTGCCAGCTGTATAGCTGCTGTGGTAACCATTTTATTGATGCCAATTCACTTTGATGATTTGGCATACTGACCAGGACCAGGAAATACAGCATTTCCCCACTGAGCGGGGATAACTAATGCACTTTTGGGTAAAGATTTGCAAGAGTATGGAATATAACTTCTTTATGTACTGTGTCTTCACACAGTTTGTTAATTTTCTACCTTAAGTGAGCGTTGAAACTTACTTTTTCTTTAAGCATCTTCAACCGAAAAACAGAAAGCCAGCAGAAGGACTTTCTGTTCACACTGCTTTGGGGATGGGAGATACACGGTTTGTCCAATATATATTGATCAAAGCACGGCTTACCCATCCAGACCTCTCCAAAGCAGCCCTGCCCAAGCTTGAGGTCAAGACGGAGGGACTCTCTCGGGATCTCCCAGGCATCCTTGGCCAAGCCCTGAGTCTGAGGCTTCAGTACAGGACAAATGTCTGTTAGACTGTTACACAGTCCATCAGCATGCTCTGGGGGACACAAGAAAGACAGGAAATGTGGTCCAGGAATAATTTGAGTGTACAAGAAACAACGGGGGTATCTGGCTTAGTAAACAAATATGTTGATTTGAGAAAATAAGGGTGTTGTTACACTCTTAAAAACAAATACAAGCACTGCATTCATAGTGAACCCACTGCGATAGTGATTGACAAGCTGCTGCAGGTTGCTGAACTGTGTGCGTGATGTGATATAGAAACCGCCGCTGTCCAGCTTCCTGATCTTGTAGTGCTTCACATTCAGCCCTTTGGTGTTGTCATAGTCCAATACAGACAGACAGTAGGCACCTGGAAAGAAGAAGAGCAAATCCGATAATGGAGATATGTACTACAATAATATCCAATTCTTATAATCTGGATGACAATGATTTATTTCTAATTTATCAGAAAATCTCAAACATTTAAGAGTAAATTTAAATGGGCAGACTTTTTTTGCTAACATTACGCCACCAGAGGGCAGTGTAAGTCAGGTGAAAAAACAGTCTGAATCACAGTGCGGCCCGAGGCGATGCCTCCCCCTTCTTTCAATGTTTCAACTGTTTGATATGGCCCGTGGTTGTACAGTCCTCAGCCTCGGCTACACACTGGGCTACACACTGACCTAATTCTGTCGGGCTCACCCACCCTGTACCTCTCCACTGCTCCGACTCACTCATCTACTCGATTTCCCTCCATGCCACCCTTTCCATATTCTATGCACAGCATACATACATATCCAATAACAGGAAACAGCAGGAATTCTGTAATGTACATGTGTACACAAGTGTCACACACACACACAGAGCCAGCTTGAACCCGCAGGGACTGTGTTGCTGCAGCAGTCGCAGCTGCAGCTGCCTAACAGAACTATCTGCAGAGTGAATCCCACAGGCATCACATCCAACCTTTTCCCATCTGCCTGCTTCGTCTCTCTTCTATACCCAGCCTGCCACAGAGTGAACAGCAGGGTGTCATGTCTTATTGCTAGAGAGAATTTGCTTTCTTCTTGTTGCTGCATTTTAGTAAGACGTGTCATAGAATTCAAACTGAGCTTCATGTTGAGATCTGAGCATTTTACAAGTTCATAAAAAAGAGAACACAAAGAACCCTAAAAAACACTACTACATTTGAAAACCCCCCACTGGTAATCAGTGGGATAAAAATAAACTTGCAGCAAGGAAGTGTTTCACACATTTTGAGGAGTGCTCTCTTGGTAGGATTGTTGATCAATACCATAGACTGAATAATCGGATCTACTTCCCAGGTCCAGAGAGTTCTCACCTTTACAAACTTACTTTCCCATACTCTGTGTAAAGAAAAACACCACTCTCCATTACCACTTCAAGGAAATGCCAAACGTCCTTAGAGCCCGTTTTAGCATAATTCTACTTTTATAGGGCTTGGTATGGTTTGAAATGGTACTCAAGTACAAGTGCAATAAGATAGCTCAGATTCAGCACATTTGAGCAAACGCTTGATATTTGACAGTTTTTGATTCTTGATACTAAGAGCACATTTTGGTTGAGACGATAGACTATTGAGGTCCAGAGAGGAAGAGTTAATGATGAGTCTGCTTCTTTGTATAACGCTCTACAGGCTTACCTTTAGTGGTCTCACTCTCTCGCACCAGGAAAGTCCCTCTCCTGTTCTCTAAACTTAGTAGCAGCCTCTCAGAATCGCGGCGTGTGATTTTGCCAAAGTACCACCTGGTGAGGTCGAGAGAAAAAAAACATGGTACACGGGAGCAAGTTGGTGAGGGGAAGAAGATGTGTGTGGGTGGAAGAGAAGGAATGACGAAGCAGAGGGTGAGTTGTTGCTCTTGGCTTCAGAAAAGTTCAGTGAAACTCTGCATTCCAGATGCAATGCCTACAGTGCAACAGCTGCTTACCTGGACTCTAGAGTCAGTCTGAGATGACTAGAGGGGCAGGAGGCAAAAGTGAGAAATGGAGTCGTTATCGAAGATTAGTTTGTGTGGCATGATTGTATAAGCAAGAAGGTTAGTATGTAAAAATCAGCAGTGCATGTCGCCCAGGAGTAGAAAACAGTAAATGTATTACAGGCATTTAAAGGAATACTTTCTTATTTTGGGAAAAATGCTTATTTGCTCTCTTGCTGAGACTTAGATGAGAAGACTGACACTGCCGTCATGTCTATTCAATAAATATGCTACAGCCAGCAGTTGGTCGGCTTAGCTAAGCGAAAAACTTGAAACAAAGGGAAACAGCTAGCCTGGCTCTGTCCAAAAAATATCCGCCTTCTAGCGGATTATGAGGGGTTATTAGGGGCAACATTATTTCTCAGCCAGGTGCAGTGACTTCCATGAGTTTTGTCGTCACTGTAACCAGCTGAGACACCAGGAAGTCACTGTGTCTGGCCGAGAAATAGTCCCACACATAACGCACCCCTAAAACAACATATGACAATAGTAATTTTTACTCTTCAGTTTAAGTATGGATTAAAGAAATTAGATATTGTGTGTCACTAAGTGAGCGGTTTAGGTAGGAGGCGGCCAGTCTAGCCTTTTCTCCCCGTTTCCAGTCTCTATGGTAAGCTAAGTTAATTGGCTGCTGGCTGTAAACTAATATATTTACCAAGAGCAGTATCAATCTTCTCTTCTAATTGCCTGCGACAAAGCAAATAATAGTCAAACTCAAAAAGCTAGAAAATTCTTGAGAATCTGACATTTGAGTGTTAATACTTTCATGTGCTTGTTGAAAGACAGATACAGAGCAAAAAAAAGAGAGAGAGAAAAAAAAAAGGATTTACTCTTCTGCCTGGATGGAGTCGGATGGAGCCACATAATTGCTGGGGATATAACCGCTCTCTCCCGTGGTCAGGGAGCGAGCCAGCCACCAGTCCCCCTCTCTGCACAGATGAAACGATAAGACACAGCTTAACCAAGGCGCAACACACATCCAAAACAGAAATAAAACAAGTCTTTCTGACTTTTAGGGGCTGGTGTTTATCAAGTGTCTCAGAGTGTAAATAAATTTATGCTGATCATTTTATTTTCTGTAGCCACTCAAAAGCTTTTTAGTTCCCACAGTAATTGAGCTCTTAACTCCTGGAGAATCTAGATAAATGCAAGCTCGAGTATCACTACTGTTGAAAAACATATTTGTAAGTTATGTAATTATAAACAAACATGCATTCATGTGGGTATAACAACAGGGAGGAATGGTGCTTGTAGCCTATGGTACTCTTAATCAGGGCGTGAGCTGCTGTAGCTTTGCAGCACTAGATTCACTTAAAGAATCTGAAGTAAAATTATAGTTTGTTTACATCAATTGCCTCCATTTGACCTGAACTGATTGCAGTGCTGCAAGGCTTTGCACCAACTTCCCTTGACTACTGTACTGAGGGTTCATGGGGCATGGGTTATGTGGTTTGTACCTCTCTAGTGAAATGGTATTACAGTGCAAAAACACACAGGCTAACAGACAGCACATTGAAATACAATTTCAGAGAAGCTTCACAAACCTGCAGTTCACCTTCCTCCTATAAAAAATGTGATGGTTTGTAATGGAGAAATGGAAAAGAGAGGTGACAGGGAAATGGTGGGAAAGAAAGGGGTTACAGAAATACAGAGAGCATGTTAAGAGCGGTGGAAGAACAGCAGAGTAAACAACACAGACTCATAACAAGATCCATATAGTGCATTTGCCAAGGCTATGAATCTAAAATATAATATAAACTTTACACATAACTTGGACATGAGGGAATCACGGTAAAAGGGGGGTTTAAGAGAAAAACATGCAGAGGGGACACTATTATCATAACACAAGCCTATCAGGTCACTGTGCATGGTTATATTATTTAACTAGACCAATCAGAAAGCTAAGATGAGTGTGACTGACACCTGATTTGACTGTGATAATGTGTTCTTAGAGATGGTTAAAGGATTCTTGGTGTACTTGACCCAATAATGATGATGATCCAGGTCTCTGGCTTAAGGGGCCAGATGCAGCGATAATCCACTATTGTCCTCAGCTCCTGCCTTCTAGGTCAGCAGTTTGTTAGGGGGTAAGCAGCACTGGGGGTGCAGAACTACAAAATATGGTTCACTGCTCCTCTATGGAGTCATAGAGCGAGCCCTATTTTGGAAACAAGCAGGACCCCCTGAAACAGGTTAGATTTGTACTGAGTAACTAGGTCTCACACTGCATCTACTTCTCAGGAAAAAGCAATAAAAATAGCCGTGTCGTTACTGAGGTGGACTGAGCAGTCTTTTGTGAATGAAGCAAAGATTTTCCAGAAATGTTTCAGTCAGCACAAAAATCAAGCTCTACTGAGAGAAGCCCGTTCCTATGGTTACGGGACATGTTCAGAGAGACGACAAGTGACATGCATTTCAGGGCGCAAAGCAACCAGTCAGACATCTGAGCAATAACTCAGACAGACAATCTGTATGTGCAGAAGTTAGTCTTTAGGGCTGGGCGATATGGACAAAAATGTTATCACGATAATAAATTTCATATCAGTTGATATCGATAATTATCATGATAAAAGTTGAATCATTATTTCTTTCAACTCTGAAGACTGATTTTTGCTCCTAATTGAAAGTTGATTGAAGGTTGAAGAAACAAGATGGTTTTAAACTAACTTTATGGTCAGAGCAAACACTTGATGCCAAATAGTGGATCATTTCACAAATCTGAGGTAGAACATTCAAAACTATTTGATGATGCTATCTGATATGCATGAGTAAAATTAAGTAAAAAATTCCTCAACAAAATAAATATCTTAATAGAAAAATTAAGTGCTGGTTCGTTCGTGATTCAAATGAATTAAAATCAAACATTTATTGAACATTTTTATATTGTTAAGGAAAATTATATCACGATAATTATCATTACTGTTTTATTGCCCAGCCCTAAATCACACAGTGTATGTGAATAAAAAATGTGTTCTTGACAATTCTCGAATTTACTTGTGTGTACAGGTTTATGAGTGGTTTTTTGGATTGACTGATTTTCCTTACGTGTTGTTGACTATTTGGAGACGTTCACCCTTCCTGAATGACAGATCTGAGGCTGTTCTAGACTCATAGTCATACAATGCCACGAAGGTCGTTACGCCGACTGTTAGGAGAGAAAATGTTATTAGCAAAGACATAATGTACATATTAGGGCACAGTAAACCAACGCACACAACAAACCACTAAATCTAAAAAACAAGTCTTTGAGCTGAGGTTCTCACCTGCTTGTGTGATTCTGTTCGTAGAGGTGACACTATTATTGTCCACACCTCCAAACAGGGCCAGCTCTGCGTTACTGGAAGGATTGCCACTGAGACCTCCATCCAGAGTAGGGCTACGATTGGGTGTTAAGGATGGTTGATTGGAGTTGAGGTGAGCCCCTCCCCCAGAGCTGAGGTGGCCATCAAGGCTGCGGGTTCGCTGCCCTACATCCTTGGGCTTACTCTTGGATCCCCCCATGGCCTGTAGAGCATTCAAGGACAGATAAGAAAGAAATGTAATTCAAATTGCATTTCAAGGCACTGTAAAAGATAAATAACATAATAATTTTGCATCAAATAGACTTGGTTTATTTACATAAGAAATTCTCATGTTATAGAATACATTCCCAGAAAAATCTCTCCAACTGCTACAAGATCAGATGCAGAAACCAGAGACGGAAAAGAGATCACGTCTCTAAACCCATTGAAACAGTGCTATGTAGACCGCATGAACCAAAACGTCCCCATGGACAGAGAAGCAGCTGCCACTCCTTGGTTTCAGCACAGACATGAGATCCACTTCACCCCATTGCCACCAGCAGAGCACATACACACAACAGAGATGTCGCACATGCCTGCTTGCACATGTGTCAGACACAGATGCACATACAGAGACATGCTACAGCATTTATTGGTATCATAGTCCTTCTTTTGGCTTTATTTAAACTGATCATTTAAAGGGGAGTTTATTTATTTAGTAAAGCTGGCTATCACCCAACAAACCCTATTCACTTTCACGCCAATTTAGTCATTAAGGGGGAACTAAAACGTTCTCGGCTCGTCATCTTTGTAGTAGTGTTTTTTTTAAACACATCACAAAGTGATCATTATCACTTTATAAAGATGCTGTGTTAAATGTATTAGCAAACATTTGCCTAGCTTTTATTTTTTCATGTTGCTGATTGTTTAACAGTATCAGTGAAGTAGTTCCAGATATAGCAAATTAGTGATAGAATCAGTGTTGAACATCAGTGAGTTTTCAGTAATGGACAAAACTTTAGATACTCTATTAAGACCCAATGAGAACTGGCTAAAAGGTTAAGTTTTTAGTTTTGGATTTGTTGTAATTTCCTCTGTGTCTCTTCATTTCAAAAGCTTCCCTGCCTACTCTGGCTCATGAAGTAGCTCTAATAGCAGCTTAGTGCTGGGAAATCATTACACTAAGCCAAAGATAATTTAGGGAGTCAAGCTCATGCTATCATGGATACATATAGCCATGGGGGGTCCGTTAGGAAATGCTAATTTAAACACTAAAGGTGGGGTGGCTTAGCAGCCCTTCTGATAAGCTGACGAGGGTCAGAGTGCATACTCAGCCTTCTGCTGACATCCCCTGTCTGACTGTTGCTATTTAAGAGCCCATGCATCTGTTTTCTCTCTCTGACACTGGAGTCAGTCAATACATGAGCCCATTCTCATTTACAAGCAAGAGTCTAATCCTAAACAAGGGACAAGCTATAATACACAGGCTAGCAGCCTCGCTCACAGTTAGAGCGATGCATTGAGATATGGTGGAAAATGCGTGGCACAAGAGGGGCACAGTTTGCTAACACACACAAGGGAAATTAGTTTAGAAGTCACTGGTTCTTGTCAGTCATTCAGTTTAGGATATTCCTATGGCTGTACAGCTCATCCAGAGGAGCAGTGATGCAGCTCAGAAATAAATATTAAAAAACAGCGGCAGCAGAAGAAACCAAAGGAAGATAGGACAGAGGAAGGGGAGGGGGACATAAAATGGGGGTTCATTTTTGGTTGGCATTATAATGGGCGAGATGGGGGAGAGGGGTCAATGCCCCCGGGGCACGTCTGCAGAAAGGGGGTTGCATCCCAACAAAGTGTAACAGTGCGTGCAGGTTAACACACACAGACACAAGAGAGCGGACACAAAGATGACGGATGGCTCAGGAAGCTGCTCTTTGTGTGATTTGTGTTCTCCCCGAGCAGACTGGTGTCATTGTTAATAAGCCATTGGAGGCACAGCGCAGTGGCACGGCAGAGAAGCGATCTCTCTTATCTCGAGCCCTCCCTATTCCACAAAGATGACGCTTTCACTTAAAAAGGATGTCAACTTAATGAGATAACTCCGATGGTGCTTAAATAACACATTATGTGGTCAGACCATTGTAAAATAATGGTGACTTATGTGGAAATACAGAATTTGCTTGTAGCACAGCAGCTCTGCATGTACCAAAGCATCTGAACAAATGAAAAAGACCCATACACACTCATTGTTGAATAGAATTTGGTTCCTTAAGCCAACAGTGTCGTAATACTCAAATACACACAAAAAAATACACTAAAAACTCCCGGAAAGGGAAGACTGAACCAAGCCAACATGAAACAGAGCATTAAGAGTCTCTGGCCTTTCTTCACATTCAGTTTCCAACAAAGCCATCTTTTGTCAGCTCACAGCAGGCGGCATAAACAAGACACAGAAGTGGCCTTAGATCCAAGCTTAGCTCTACCAGCAAGCAGGAAATATGGAAATTAAGGAAGTCATAAAGCCAAACAATGTCATGTTTTGCAGGAATCATGGCTCTCTGTGTATCATCAGTAGCAAATGATAATGAAAGCCTGATTCTGGTTTAATAGGGCTGAGGTACTGTAACAAGAACCTACTGTCTGATGAAATTTCCTCTGGCAAGGCAGGGGGTGTGGCTGGCTGGGAGGGGGATTTGCTTAATTATGCATAAGATCTGGCAATGAATTCCAAATCCTTCAAGACTCCTGGGCTTTGGTAAATGGGAATAGCCTTTTAATATTGCTGCCGGGGTTGTTTTCCCTTTACAGGAGGCTGCATATCGTTGTTTTGCTTGCTTTTTAATTTCCTATGAAAAGAAAACAATTACAATCTCTGAACGGTATTCTCTCATTGAAATAAAATGAAAGGATATGGTCTCATTCACCCACTAAAATGCTTTACTCATGGAGTCTTTGTCAGGGCAGGATTATGACACTGGTCCATTTCCCCAAACAACACAGGCTTCGTAATAAAGCCTGCTGTGCTATGCTTTATTTAAAAAAAAAATAAAAAAAAAATCTTTTCATCTTTTAGGAAGGATCAACTAGTCATGAACATCAAAACTGAACAAGCTTGCTTCAGATGTTCTGTATGTGGGCTTAATGAGAGCTTTCCACCTACAAAGCTGAAGAAACTCAAAGTAATACTGAGGGAGACGGTGAAACTCTACTATGTGAAGTGGCAAGTCAGGACTTGAATGTTGCAATGACAGCTACAGTACAGTAGACCCCTGACTTCTATCTCACAGTTCTTGTTGCTATTGGCTTGTTGTCTAATACATGGATTGGGCATGTTCTGACAGTCTTCCTTCACTTAAAGACCAGAGTCTTTAATGGCTCAGGCGACAGGTTAAAGGTCACGATTAAGCATTTGCTGTAACGCTATAATTACAACAATGAAACTGTTGTATTAACATTTTGTCAAATTGTAGGAATAACACGTGTTCCTGCATAATGATAGTTCCTTCTTTTAGTCCCTGTTCACAAATGATGATGGATCTGAGGGCAAGCAACATGGGATTAGTCTAGAGCGCTCTGCATTTTTCTCTGACGCCACCTCAGTAAGATAAAATACCTCCAGAAGAATGTGCAGCCATGAGTTTAAAAGGGAAAAAAATCCTTCTGTCTTGTTTAATAAATCATGAGTGTATAATTATTAGGTTCTATCTGCTCTGTTACTTACATGACATGAAAAGTTATTAACATTTTGTATTGATTTATTATTACTTTTATGTATTAATGGCCATATAAAGTAAAAAAGGTCCTATCTCCCAAGTAAATTTTAGATTTATGAAGCCAATCAGTGCTCAGAATATAAAAAGGAGGACCAATCAAATCCCGCCTCTACTGTGTTGCCTCACTGCTCTGTGGTTGAGGTTAAAGAAGCTGACAAAATGGTGCCTGATAAGATGTTTTGAAATCTCAGAATTGATATTTTCAGAGACGTAGTGAATGATATTGATACATGTGCTGTGCCGAATATGCTGAGGGTCATTTTATATGATTTTCTAACTTTGCAAAAAGCAAATTTTTACCATTTGCTACTATGCTAGACTGCTACCTTGTTGAAGTTAAGGCAACTAATGTTAAATCTTGTTTATTAAAAGTAATGTTAGCTATTATTTGTAACTCAGAGTTACTGGGACTAGTTTAGAGATGAAAGCAATAAAGAAGATAGACCTGATCTGAAGCAACTCTACCAACTGGATTTATGTCCATTTATAAGTCGTGTACTTCAGCAGACAAACAGTGACGACAGTGATTACATTCCAGGTCAGACAATGACAGTGATGACCTGAGTCTGACTACTGAAAAGATTTGGGATCAAAAAAACAAACAAAACAAAGCTAGATGATATGATTTTGAATGTGGCCACTGTGCAACGCCTTTCCTGTACATTATAAGAGAGGCAAATTAACATATAGTCTCCATAGTCGTCCTGCTCTACAAGTACTCGTAAGCAAACTGAGTGAAGAGGTGCCAGACTACAGGGAAATATCATCCTGTTCTTATTGGATTTTGCATAAGCTGACATCAAATGTTTAAAATGTTGTGTGTGTGTGTGTATTTATGGTCTGTTCGTGTGAGCTGGGGAGCATGAACTCGTGGATGGACAGGCTGTACTTGCACTTGACCGACTGATAACAACCTCATTCCAAAGTGGTTTGCAATTTGACAGTGGTACGGTAAAACTGCTGATGAAGCCCAGTCTTCTTATTTTTCAAGCATTTGACTCATTGGAGTGAAGAGAGAACGCTGTAGTTCAGGAGACAGGAAGTATGTGTGTATCTAAAGGGAGTGTGTGCAAGTGTGTGTGTGAGCGAGTGCATGTGATCCTACTGTCAGCCTGGTGGATGTATTCCTTCATCTCAGTGCTCTTTATGTAATTACCACAGGGGGAAAAGTGGGGAGGCTTTGGCTCCTGCGTCACTAGCCACAAATCGTAGCATAATCCAGCCCTGCTTGTTCTGTCCAGATTATCAACATCTATTCCCTAATCTTATTTGTGAATGCTGTGATGACATTCCATCTGGGGCCTGCAAACAACACGGGAGCAGAAATGAGAAGACAAGATAGGCCGGTCAAACCACTACTACTGCAGCTGCTAGCCCTCCAAGTGCTTGTCTTATCCTGTCTCAGCAAATCCATCTGCTATGAGAAAACAGCAAAAAATCTCCACTGAGT